TGTTTCCAACCAAGCCCACTAAATGTTTCTCGAACATCTCAAATGGTCATTTCTACACTTTTCGTACACTCGGTTGAGTACCCATTTAATACCCCTTCTTAAAAACTCCTAATTTTGTGTAACATCCTTAATAAAATATGTTTTGAACTTAAAATAAAACAACCTATTATTTTAATACAAAACAGCCCACTATTTATGTTTAATACACTTAATTTAAACTCACCAAAATATACTTTGAAATTACACTAAAACAAATCCACACATATATAAATACTTAAAATTAATCACACACACACACATACACCCATACATTCTTCTTGTTTTCTTCTTACTTTTTGTTTGACATGGAGTCACCCAATTTTTTTTTTTCTTTCTTCTTCCTCTCCTTTACTCTCCCTCACTCACAGTTTGAACACACCAGAACACACACACACACACACTGGTTTGTCTTTTAAATATACTCACTTTACTACATATTAAAGTACACACACACACAATTTACTACACTTTAAGACACACACATACACTTGACACACACACACACACACATGCACTTGACTTTTCTCAAATGACCCACTACCTTAGCCTTGACACATGTATAAAAATATTTCATGAAACTTAATAATTCTATTTGCCTCCCCCAAATTCTTAAGTGATTTCAAAATCAACTCAATTCTATTTCCATACACAAAATTCTATCTAACAAATAATTTCACATAATTGCAATTAGTCTACATAATTATGCTAATGTGTGTGCAATGTATGATCGAGTTTCACATCTAAGTTATAACATTAAAATGTATGATTAATCATGAAAGGTTAAGATCGATATCGAGATTTTCATGACTAATTATGGGTATTTGTGAGTAATCGATCATGACATTTCCTTGAATAGTTAGAAATTTTCTTTTCAAAGTTATAATTTTACTCATAAAAAGTAATAACTGATGGTACGACACCAAAATTTATATCTCTTGCTCTATATATATATATATATATATATATATATATATATATATATATATATAAAATAAAGTAGAGCTAAGTTTGAATCCAGAGACAAAGAGAGGTCCAGATCGTTTTGAGATAAAACATAAACACATCCAACGGACAATATAATCCCAACATAAAAAACGGTTTAGATTATTTTAAAATTGTTGATCTAACGATCCTAATTGATGCTCATAATTTTTTTTCCAACTAAAAATTTGAATAATTCTTTCATCTTATATAGAACTCAAGACTCCTATCTCTCATATATCCCCTATCTCTCTCTCTCTCTCTCTCAAAACTATTAATCCGATGATCCTTATACAAAATTTTTCTAAAACTCTTATCTTTCTTCTGACTCACTTTTCTTATCTCCCTATCTCATACTAATTGATTCAACTCTCTCCCTAATCTCTCTCTTATCTCTTTCTCACATTCCTTTTAAACACACACAGAATCCCTATCTCTCTGTCTCTGCTAGTCTATCTCTATCTCTTATGTAGTCAGATGTTTAAGTCTAACTCTCTCTCCCTATCTAGCCCAAGAATTTCAACATCGTTATCATTCCAAGACTGACTTTATCTCATCCTCAAAGACTTTATCTCAACCTCGTCAGTCCCACCCCATACGTCTATCTCTCTCTCACTCTGTTTTTCGTGTATTTTCTACAAGCATGGAACAACGTGTAACTTCTCTCGAGCGACGCCTAACAACGCTCAGTTTGTCCACGTCTTCCTCTCTCTCTCTCCCTTTCCCTCTTTCTCCGTATTTCTTCACTTCTTCTTCCTATCTCTTTCTCTTAACCCACCCACGTCCACACACACCAAAAAATAAGAAACTCCCCTCCCCAGTCCACACAAACACACCGGAAAAACTAGCAGCGACTTCCAAGTCATTAGGCATATTTGGCTGCCCAAATTAACGCCCATCTCTAGATGTTCTTCCTAAAAATGTTCTTCCTTCTTGCCACTGATCTCTCTTCTCCTTTCCCTCACCTCTATTTTTTCTCTTCACCACTTCGCCTCTCCCTCATCTCTCTTCTATCTTCGATTATTCAACAATGAAGCCCCTTTTGAATTTTTAATTTTTCGCCAATATGATATATATAACATATTGTTAGAGACTTTGCAATAGAGGGCATATTGATAAATTTAATCACTTTCTACCTAGCTCAAAACAAGTGCTATGCCCTTTACATGAATGTTCTGTGCTACATTTTTTATGTTAAGCTCTTCATATAATTTCTTTTGTTCTCTCTATAACCTTGCTTGCTTTATATTGATTTTTACTATAATTATTGGGTGATACATTGTTCTGATTTGGATTTGATTGTTTCAGGACTTCAACATATTTGTTCTTTCTTATCTTTCTACAACTTGCAGGGTTTTCATTTTCTTGACCTTTTCTTCTTACCATGGATGTGGCCACAACACAAGAACAAGGTTTTCTCCTTCCTCACTCTATCTTTTTATTTTCTTTGTATTTTTGAAGTTTTCATGCATTGATTTCTTTCATTATTTGCTTTATAATCAGCATATTGCTAGCCTCTGTTGTGTTCTAATTTTAGAATATCCAATGTTACCCCAAAAGTCCAATTGTCTAAGCATAGTTTTAAAAAATACAATAGTTTATTCCATATGTTAGTTTTGGTGCAGTGTCATGGAAAAAAAATTTAGTCTTATATTTGTTGTCCTTTAAAGATACCTATCTTAGAATATTGACCTTCTGAGAAAAAAAATCCATTATAAACTTTTTTTTTGTGCCCTCAAAATGAAAATACCATCACTGTTATGTTGTAGATTTTCAATTGGCTCTTAGTTATTGGGTTTCCTAATTGTGGAGAGGTTATGCAACTTAAGAACTACCATTCATCATAAAGGCATTGTGCCTACATGGATGTTTATAACCAATGATCATTCTGTGTACACGTTTTTTAATTTTTGTTTTGATCTTTATTATTTTGATTTGCAGACTTTATTTGCTCTTCTAATTAGTTGATGTCTTTGTTTGACCGACACTAGGATTCGTGTTCTCTTTTCTCTTTTTTTTTTCTTATTTGATATTTTCCCCGTATTTTTCTGAGCAAAACTGTGGTTAGGAATGCATCACAACCAATTATTTCCTTGGGCCTTTGTGTATAAAGTTGAACTTTTTTGTGATGGAAAATTCTAGGCATAATTAAATTATTAATCGGGAGAAAAAGAAATCGAAGGGGTTTAGGATTGTTGGTATATACACATGTTCATTTACATTTTTGTTGATTGTGTCTCATTATTAATTAATCAAGGGAATAAGAAAATTATTTATTTCCTTTGGAGTATATGATCTCCACATTTGAAATGTCCACTTATGTTAATGGACAAGTATTTCTAGGTTTGAATTGGAAATTTTGAATTATTGAATTTAAGAATATTTTCTATGAGTGAGATTTATGGAAATGGTTTTTATTTTGGGAGAGATTAATGTGATTTGTTCTGGGGTATGTAACTTAATATAGTATTGGTTTTGAGAATGTAGGTCTATGAATTTTGTTGACTTTAAAATGTAGATTATTATAGTAGATGATCCAAAGAGAGTTTATTGTGTTCGATTATCTATTTGTCATTCATTGATCAATATTTAAGTTGAATATTTGGTACTGCTAAATTTTGTGTTTTGTTAGAACTTAAATCAATTGATGCCAAAGTTAAAAAAATTAAAGGTGGAAGTTATGGGTGTCTTTTTCATTTTTTTTTATTGAGCAATGCATTGTTCCATAATATGTAGAAAACAAATATACTTGACCATTAAGTATAGTTAGTATATTGTGAGGATTTTTTTTTTTTTGGGATTGCGAGGACTTAGTTTATTGTTAAGTCGTCTATGCCTTTTTTCATTTATTGTCACCAATGACTTTCTGTTATAAAAAGCTTTCATATACGGTAATTATTTATGATTTTTTGTTTATTACATAGTGCCTTCAGGTACAAACAATAACTAGTATATATATATATATATATTTTTGAGTTGTGTTGATCACTAGTTTCTCCAATTTGTCATCTCGTTGATAAACGCATCTTTTATACGGTAAAAAAATTAAGGTTGATTGTTCTTAACACGATTGTGATGTAAAATTAGTATGAAATTGTTGAATTTGTGTTTACTTTTGCATGGGTTAGATAATGATTACATTACTTTGGCACTTATCATCAATAAATGAACTAACATGAATTCAAGTGGACACAATTGTTAGATGTTGAAATTTAGTTGTTTCAGAAAATGGGAATAATAATTTAGACCCAACATGAATAAATAAAGAGATGACAGGTCCTAATCCAGATCCAAGATATGATGAAACCCAAGTGGACAAGTGGATAAGTGAGACTAAGATGGGGAAGATGACTCAGTTGAGTATAAAAGATAGGAATAATAACGTGGCATAAACCAAATTATAAAAAAAAAAATAATATATCCCAAATAAAAAAGGAAAATCCAAGAGGTCGGCCAGCCGGACAGCTATCAACAGTTGTTAGGAAAATGAAATTCCCATTATTGGATCCACGTGGCAAATTCTCAGAGCTACCGAAACAAGTGGGATGATTTTATGGTTCCGACATCTGTTTTGTACCGTTAGTTATTATTTTTATGATAAAGTCAAAATTTATAAAAAATAAATTACATGTGTTTAAAAGAATCATTTATACACATGGTCAATTATAAATTTTCTACGTGTAAACGTAATTTCTTATTTATGAATTATAACTTAATTTTTAAAAATTATAATTTTAGTATTAATTCTATTCATAACTTTTAAAAATTGTAATTTACAACCCAAAAAATTTTAAGCTAACCTCGAATAATAATAAATTTGAGGACAGTACCGACTTCCCGGCCACTCCATAGAGTTAGGAAGCTTCTTTTTTTTATCTCTCTCTCTATGTAGCTATACATATACGGTTGTTATATATGTTTAATCTTGAAGGATTTCTTTACATATTTGAGAGTTAGCGTTGAGATTGTTAGACAGAGTGATGGGGAATAAAAATTATTTGGCGATGAAGACTGATGCTTCGGCAACAGAAGAATTGATCACTTCCGATTTGAAGGATCTTGGCAACGCTGCCAAGAAACTGGCTAACCATGCGATTAAGCTTGGTGGGCTTGGATTTGGGACTTCTTTCCTTCAATGGGTGGTTTCAGTTGCTGCAATGTAACTTCTCTCTCTCTCTCAACTTTTTTATGTGGTAATTTGAGGAAATAATTTCATCTTTAGTTCACAACATTTAGTTCAGTAAATAGACTGTGTGTGTGTGAATGTTGTGGCAAATGAACTTGGATGTATAAATCTACCAAGATTTGTTGAGGATTATCAAATGGATTGTTAGTGCTAATATAAAATGCTTTTAAAGAAGAGATGCTTTATGACTGATGATTTATATGTGGAGAATGCTATGGTGGAATGATCATATACAATTTTTTAAGATTTTTTGAACATTTTTTGGGGGTCATTTACAATTTATGGGATTTTTTGTGATCGATCTTAAACATTTGCGATCAATCATGAAATCCTAAGATGTTAGGATCAATCAAACCTCCCAAAGGTTGTAACTTGGTCTTCAAAAAATTCTTGGATATTCTATCGGTGCATCTCGTTATGCCACCAGTAAAATTGAAGGTCGTACAGGATTTGACTATTGGATATCCTTAGACTCAAATCCTACTGTCCTTGTTGCAAAAGCAAAAAAATTTCAGATCTTTTCGATCTTCCAAGAACAATGTTATCTGGGCTTAATATAAATTTATAGATAATTCTTACCAGTGCATGACCCTCTGTAGCATCATTCTTAACTTGTTTTTCAGGCCCTGCCCATCGATTTGAATATACAAATGGTTGTGCAAGGATAGTAGACTTCTGTTTTATGCATTTTGTTCATGCTTTCCTGTCTACTGCTGCTATACATTAGTCATTTCTTTCACTACTCTACTTGATTTATGTTGTAGAATACAGTGTGGTAAAACAATTTCAAGTAGTAGAAAAGTAATAAATCAAAAAATTGAAGAAGATAGATCGTTAGGTAAGGCGCGACACTCGTTATCTTCGAAATAGTAATTTTTTCACTTATAATGCAGATGGACTCTTGAAAATTCTATCCCAGGATACAATGTTTAACTTTAAAATTAACAAAAACTACACTCCTTAGTAATCTTGGAATCAAAACTCAAGCCCGAATAAAAAATCAAAAAATATAGAAGTTTTGAATCAAGGAGAAGAAGAAGGATTAAATTGTTGATACTTTGTTCTTGCACTTGAACCCTATTTATAGTGTTCTATGCATCTCTTAATAGGAGAGTGTGACCCTTCAAGTCCATGGCAGAAGACACCCCTTGAAAGGGCTTGAATAATGTAGTTGTTAGAGACTAGTTTTCAAACAGAATACCTGTTACATTCAAACGAGATTGTCATGTTCGAACGTACTCAACTCTTAGTATCTTGATTCTGAGATATTCTAAGATTTCTGTCAAAGCACTGGGAGCAAATCACGTTCGAACATGGGTTGTGTTTGAATGAACCGAAGTCACAGTATCTTAGCTTCTGTCAGAAACTGAGATTCTGAAAAGGTACTGCGAGCAAAGCACGTTCGAAGTATTGTTTTAGCGTTTGAACGTCGCCTCCCTCCTTTTAATTCTTCTTCTTCTTCTTCTTCTTCTATATATATATATATTATATACATATGCAAAATTATAACTTGAAATTCTCATTATGTAGACCTCATTTTTAAGAAGATTCCTTAAGACCTTGAGTGGAGAATGAAAATTTTCCTCTATTTATAGATGAAGATGAATCCATGAAGAACCTCCAAGAACCAATGTGGGATTCATGTCTTTGCCCTCCTACTTATATATATATATATATATATTTTTATATTTTTTTGATAATACATGCAAATGATGTTTTACTAATCAATATATCACTATTAGTAAATAACTATATATATATTTACCTATATATATAACAATTTACTCTGCGATAAGTTGACTACGTAATACATCGTTTTCTTATGGTTCTGTAGATATTTGTTGATCTTGGACCGTACCAACTGGAAGACCAACATTCTTACGTCCCTTCTAATCCCTTACATTTTCTTGAGTCTGCCTTCATTAGTGTTCAGCTTGTTCAGGTAACTATACATTCTGTATGGCTCCGATATTTTTGTTCGTGCTATTGCTTCTTCATTTTCTTGCATAGTTCTAATCTGTTTGATAATGCAGGGGAGAAGTTGGGAAATGGATAGCTTTCGTAGCCGTTGTAGTGCGCCTTTTCTTCCCACGGCATTTTATAGGTTTAAGCCACTTTCAGTTAGTCTTGTTAATTAATCATGGTCACACTTCAATGCAGTTAAGAAAATCTTAAGAGTAATATGTTTATGTTATGTTGTATTCATCTCCTGATATCTGGGACATCTTATAATCAACCTATTTTTAGTAAATGAACTATGATTTAGGACACAATTTCTTTATTGGCAGGATCATTCTTTTCCCTTTCAACTAAATAAATGAGCTAAACATAATAACAGATTTGAAATGATGCTAAATGTTAATTATTCTCTCTGCATATTTTCAATTATGAGTTGTGTCGCTGATAATGAGTGTAAATGCAGATTGGCTAGAACTGCCAGCCGCATTGATTCTTCTCATGGTGGTGTCACCCGGCTTTTTGGCCGACACTGTGAGGGGCAACTGGATTGGTCTTGGGATATGTCTTGTCATCGGGTGTTATTTGCTGCAAGAACACATCCGAGCATCTGGTGGTTTCAGAAATTCCTTTACAAAAACCAATGGCATTTCGAATACTGTTGGCATAATCCTTCTGTTGGTCTATCCAGTATGGGGGCTGATACTTTACATCCTATAGGCACCATTACTAGTGCAGCTTCTGGATTGTTTTCAATTTGCAAATCTGAACCTTACACCATCTATATTACTATTTGGTTTGTCAGCTGGATTGTGTAATTTGTATTTCTTCTTATAAATCAGTCTGTTTTCTTTGGATCAGATCCTTGGGACCTAGTGTTTGATACAATTATGTATTGCATAAGCATCTGTTTTACTTGAGAAACCTAAAAGCTTGAATCGATAACCACTCGCCAAGCTGGAACATGAGCAGAACTCATAGCTTAGCTGGATGAACTATTAGTACTCCAACTGTTCTGTCTTGTTTACTGAATAATTTCTGTGTGTAGAGCTCCCATCTCTCTCATGGTTGCTCTGCTCCATTGGAGAAGGTTTTTTTTTTTCCTCCATTTTAATTGAACTTCTGAACAATCCTGACTCGTTGGGGATAGGCTCGAAAGGGAAGGGAACTGAACGCCTGTGAGAAAAGAAATGGAAATAAGAGCTGAATGACTAAGACGATTGAATTCAGGTTCTAAACCTGCCAAGGGCAGTCCTTGCCTCAACTCATGGATACATAAAACCCTGTCATTCCTCTTTGGAGATGAGGGGCGTTTGCCACCCGAGATAAGCTCGTGGTGGGAGTTGTTTTTATTTTTCAGTTTAGCATGACTGCCAAGTAATTTATTACATTTAAGAGATAATTGCGAAGAAAATATTAATGCTAACGTAGAATTTCTGGCCACAGAATCCTCCAATTTAGTTGCAGAACTTGCATTACTTTCATCTATACAAGATCTTGAAGAAGAAGAAAAAAAAAAGAGCATTGGGAGTTGCTCAGAATGTGTATCATATTTTATATGACCCAAGTAATCAGTAATAGCACTGCTTAATCTGTTCTTGAAAAACAAGAAGAATGAACTATGACGCCAGCAGTCTGCATATCAGGTTCAAACACTGCTGTCACACCTTTGACCCCTTTGCTTCATTGTACCTTCTTTTTCCAACATTTTAAGAGGGGTTGAATCCTCTTATCTGTTGATTTGACCTTAATGCAACAGATTCACTATCTATATGTCCTGGAATTGGGTTGTTCTATGCATCAGGATCTCAAATTGGTTCTCTAGCATATTATTCAAATTCAGATTATGGGGGAGCATGTGACGATCGATCTACTACAGGCTTCTGTGTTTTTCGAGTGATTCATCTTATCTTTTGGAAGAACAAGAAGCAGTTAGTTGTCTCTCGCTACTCAGCAGAGGCAGAGTATCAGGCATTGACACTTGATAATGTGAGAGTATCTGGCTACGATCGATTCTTAGCGAGTTGGAATTTCTAGTGACTTCTTCATCTACATTATATTTTAATAATCGATCTGCTATTCAGCTTACTTCTAACTCTATATTACACGAGAGAACGAAGCATATAGAGATCGATGTTCAATTTCTTCGGGAAAAGGTTAGCAGTAGTATTGGTACTCCATCGTTTGTGGGAACCAATGATCAGGTTGCGAATGTTTTTACCAAACATGTCACTCTATCTATTCTTTGAGACTCCGTTGACACTTTTGTGCCTAACTTGAAGGGGAGTGTTGGAGATATAGCAGCCTAATTTATTAGGGTTTATTAAGTTTTCTTTTTTTATCTTTTTGTCCTTATTGTAACTTTCATTGACTATATATACGGGACTCTACATTTAGTTTGTATCCCTTTCACTTACAATTATCTCAAGTATATGAAATGAACGTTGTTAAATAGAAACAGAGAAAAGCTACAACGTAAATGTTGAGAAAATCTTCAGACCTTGTAAAAAACCAGCCTGTCCAAGAGAGGGGTCGCTTTGTTTTCTTGCAATCCCTTCTTGAGATTCCTCAGTTTGCTGTTAGTCGTACAGTAGGGAATCAAAACAATAACACATAAGTTTCAAAAGCAATCAACAGATCTACAGTAACACATACTAGTTGTAAGCACATAATTTTTGGGTGATGCATTGTTCTGATTTGGATTTTTGTGTTAAGCTCTTCATATAATTTTCTTTTGTTCTCTCTATAACCTTGCTTGCTTTATATTGATTTTTACTATAATTATTGGGTGATGCATTGTTCTGATTTGGATTTGATTGTTTCAAGACTTCAACATATTTGTTCTTTCTTATCTTTCTACAACTTGCAGGATTTTCATTTTCTTGACCTTTTCTTCTTACCATGGATGTGGCCACAACACAAGAACAAGGTTTTCTCCTTCCTCACTCTGTCTTTTTATTTTCTTTGTATTTTTGAAGTTTTCATGCATTGATTTCTTTCATTAACTTGGAATAAATGTAAGTGAAAAGGGATACTCAAATTAAGAGTAGAGCCCCGTATATATATCCAAAAATAATACAGAGTGACTTAAACACCCTTGTAGTTTAGGCAAAATATAAAAATCTTAGTAAGGGTAAAAAAGGGAAAAGAAATCCTAATAAATCTAGACTATCTATACTCCAACACTCCTCCTCAAGGTAGGCGCAAAAATGTCAACTAAGCCAAACTTGACAACGGAGTCCCGAAGAATAGACAGAGTGACAGGTTTGGTAAAAACATCCGCAACTTGATCACTGGTCCCCACAAACGATGGAGTAACAAGACCACTGCTGACCTTCTCCCGAAGAAAGTGAACATCAATCTCTATATGCTTCGTTCTCTCATGTAGTACAGAGTCAGAAGTGAGCTGAATAGCAGATTGATTATCACAATATAATGTGGATGGAGAGGTCACTGAAAAACCCAACTCGTCAAGAATCGATCGTAGCCAGATAATCTCACATGTGCCAAGTGCCAATGCCCGATACTCTGCCTCTGCGGACGAGCGGGAGACAACTGTCTGCTTCTTGCTGTTCCAAGAGATAAGATGAGTCCCTCGAAAAGCACAGAAACCCGTAGTAGATCGACCATCACATACTCCCCCGTAATCTGAATCTGAATAACAGGCTAGAGAACCGGTCTGAGATCCTGATGCATAAAACAACCCAAGTCCAGGACAAGACTTGAGGTACCGAAGAATATGATAAACTGCATCAAGATGAGGTTGACATGGCCTATGCATGAACTGACTAACTCGGCTGACTGCGAATGAAATGTTCGGCCTAGTATTGGCTAAGTAGATAAGTCTACCTACCAATCTTTGATAAACTGTCGGATCTTTCAACTCCTCACCTTCAGCAGTAAGCTTCAGGTTTGGAATCATAGGTGATAATGCCGGTTTGCACCCCAACATCCCAGTGTCTGAAAGAAGATCCAAAACATACTTTCTCCGAGAAAGAACAATACCTCTGCTTCTACGGGCAACCTCAATCCCAAGAAAGTATCGCAGAAATCCAAGATCCTTCACATCGAAGGCCTTCCCAAGGTCTATCTTGACCTGCGCAGTCCCAGAAACATCATCACCAGTAATAATAATATTATCAACATATACCAGAAGGATGACACACTGTCCAGAAGTATTCCGTCGAATAAAGCAGGTATGATCAGAATGACACCTGGTGAACCCCAATCGTATGACTACATCACTGAAGCGAGAGAACCAGGCTCGTGGCGACTGTTTCAGTCCATAAAGAGATTTACGCAGTTGACATACCTTTCCAGCATACTCCCCCTCACCACGAAAGTCCGGTGGTGCATCCATATAAATAATCTCGTTCAGATCACCGTGAAGAAACGCATTCTTCACATCTAATTGATGAAGAGGCCAAGAGTACTCCGCAGCCAGAGAAATAATTAACCGAACAGTAGTCAATTTTGCCATGGGGGCAAATGTAGAACCAAAATCACGACCTGGTACCTGAGTAAAGCCCTTCGCCACAAGTCTAGCCTTGTAACGATCAATAGTACCATCCGCCAGAAACTTCAGGGTGTAAACCCAGCGACAGCCAACAGGCTTCACCCCTGAAGGTAAGGAGACAAGATCCCATGTATGATTACGCTGAAGAGCGTCCATCTCTGTCTGCATGGCAAGAACCCACTGGGGCTCCCGCATAGCTTCCGAAATAGAGCGAGGAACCAGCGTATCTGATAAGGCCATAGTATAAGCTCGAAATGTGGGAGACAGATTACCATAAGAAACATAAGCAGAGATCGGATATAAAATCTTGGCGGTCCAACCATATCGATCAACTGGACGGCGATCACGCCTTGGAAAACGACGCCCTAAATCACCATCCTCTACTGATAATATCTTATCAGGTAAAGTAACTGGCTCAGCACCTGTAATCTCATCAGTACTAACAACAGGTGCATCAATATGCTCAACAAACTGAGAAGTATTACCTGCATCGCCTGAGGTAGAGGGGATATCAGCAGGGTGATGAGAGCGAGGACAACGAGCATACACCTGCAAAGGAAGAGAGACTGGTAACTCTGTACTGACAGGGATGAGTGACTCCTTTGGAGGAAAAATGGATGACCCTGTAGGGATAGTGATCAATGACTCTGACTCTTGTGGTAATGGAAAATCAAAGGGAGTATCATCAACTGGAGGGGCAGACAAAGGACTGAAAGGAAAATAAGGAATATGCTCAAGAAAGGTAACATCTAGACTGTGATACATACGACGCCTAATAGGATCATAACATCGATACCCCTTAGATTGATGACAATAGCCTACAAAGATACAACGAATCGCTTTATCATCAAGTTTATGACGAGTAGGAGACCGATCTTGAACAAAACATGTGCATCCAAAAATACGAGGGGGGACCGAAAAAGTGTCCGCTCAGGAAATAAGACCTATAAGGGAGCCTTATGCTGAAGAACACGACTCGGCGTACGATTGCACAGAAAGGTAGAAGTCAAAACAGCAAAATGCCAATAAGATTTTGGTACCCTCATGCCTCTAAGCAGACAACGTACCATCCCTATCAAACTCCTATTTTTCCTCTCAGCAACACCATTTTGCTCAGGAGTATATGGACAAGTGAGTTGCTGAAGGATACCCTGAGAAGAAAGGTGAGACATTAAAGCATCAGACACATATTCTTTGGCATTAT